AAGAAGGGAAGCAACAGAGAGAGCTGACAGCAGTTTGTGTGGTCAGGTGTGGGGAAGAAGCGCCCAGAGCTCGCGGACGGATGCACGTTCGTGCCGCGCGCCGAGTGTGATTTCACGCCACCGGCGACGGGCGTCAAGTCGACATGGCTGGGCCACGCGGCCGTGCTGATCCAGTACGCGCCGTTGGCGGGGCAGGAGCGGGGGCTCAACATCCTCTTCGACCCGGTGTTCAGCGACCGGTGCGGGCCGACGCAGTGGTTCGGCGCCCCGCGCCGCTTCACGCCCGTGCCGTGCGGCGCGACAGTCGCCGAGGCCGTCGACGCGCTGCCGCCGCTCGACATCGTAGCCATCAGCCACAACCACTACGACCACTTGGACATCCCCACGCTCCGCGCGATCTTCGCGAAGCAGGCTGCGACACCGCCGGCGCTCCTCATCCCGCTGAACACGCTCCGCCTCGTGCGCGGTATCGCACCCGACGAGCTCGTGCGCGAGGCCGACTGGTGGGAGGAGATCGCGGTGAGCAGCGACCGCGGCGACGCACACTTCACATATACGCCCGCGCAGCATATGACGGCGCGGACGGCGTTCGACATGGCTGCGAGTCTGTGGGGCGGGTGGTGTGTCAAGACGAAGCGGGACGGCGGCGCGCAGACCGTGTGGTTTGCCGGTGACACTGGTGAGTTTTGGCCGGCGGCGGGCGTGGCGAGACGGTGGGGTGCGTCCGGGAGCGCAGGTACACCTGGGTGGCGACACCTGACATGGTGGCGTGGGGTGGGAGCTGACATCATCCCACGGGTGGCGATGAAGGAAGCGAAGCGCAGATAAAGAGTGTGGCACCGCCATTGTCGCTGACACCAGGATACTCGGCTGTTGACACGGAGACGTACGAGATCGATGAGTCCCGGCCCGTGTGTCCGGCTTTCAAGGAGATCGGCTCGCGGCTGGGTCCGATCGACCTCGCGTTCCTCCCAATCGGCGCGTACTCGACGCGCTCTTTCTTGAGCACCGTGCATTGTGCGCCGATTGATGCGGTGCGCGTGTTCAAGGATGTGGTGAGTGCGATCATGGGATAGGAGGTGGGATGGGGAGAAGGGAGCAGGAGGCCCGCTGGGACGAGGAGGAAGAGCGGAGCAGGGCGCAGCTGCGAACCCAAGGCTGTCATCTGCTGCCTCTGCACCTCTGCTTCCTTCTAAACATGCTCCCCGGCCCCCTCGGCCTTCTCGCTGCGAAGCAGCACTGACTCCAGAACGCGCGCAAGGCTGTCGCGATCCACTGGGGCACGTGGGACCTGTCGAACGAGCCGATCTCTGAGCCGCCACGCATGCTCGCAGAGGCGCGCGAGACCGTCGGCCTCACGCAGGAGCAGTTCGACATTTGCGCGCTGGGCGGGAGCGTGAGCGTTTAGAGTGTAGCGCGGTATAGTGTTGTGACATGTAAGAGCTGCTTTGCGGTGTGGAACGGTGGGGCGCTGAGCCACCGATGCTATCTCACATCTCAATCGATCTAATGCAATGACACAATGCTACAGACCCTCCCTCAAGCCATGCCCTAAAGCACCACAGCGACAGCCGCCGCCGCCGCCGCGCCCGCGGCAATCAGCCAGCTCGCGGCGACGGCGGCCGCGGCGTTTTTCATAAAGCTCACGTTCCACCCCTTGGACCGGTACTGGCGGATGAGCTTGTCGACCTCGGGGTCGTTCGGGCCGTGGTCGTTGAGCTGGAACTCGTCGGACGTGAACACGTTCGTGTAGTTGCACACACGCGAGGCATTGTATCCCGGCCGGTCGGGGCAGTACTCGGGCACGGCGATCTGAAGGTAAAACGTCCCGCCGTGGCACTCGATGCACGCCTCGCCGGGGTCATAATATTCGATGGGGTAGAATGTCGTGTTGCCCTCGTCGGCCATGATAGCTGGTGTGAGCGGACGGCGAGGGGGAGACTCACTGTCCTTGCGCGTGCGCAGGCGGCCGAAGGGAATCAGACTGCCGTCGCCGGGGTCGCCGGTGCGGAACGTCTTGACCTTCTTCGTGTCGTTGCTCCAAAGGAAGAAGTGAAGTTCGTCGTCTCTGGGCCCCTCGTACGTCCACCAAATGGCGCCGGTCGCCTTGAACGACCCTGGGGTCAGCCTTGTCCATCATGGTGTGGGCGCGACGCACAGAAATTTCCCTTGCGCGGCCAGGTGATGTTCATCGGGTAGCGCGTGTGGTCTGCCGTGTCCCATGGCCCCTCGGCGGTGTCTGTGGGCGTGGGCTGCGGCTGGTCTTTGTTATCGTTGTTTGGGTTGGTATCGGGGTTCGTACTCGTGGGCTTGTCGCCGCTGGTGGGGGGGTTGTTCGTCGAGCCTGTCCCCGTGTTGCCAGTATTCCCCGTGTTGCCAGTACTCCCCGTGTTGCCTGTGGAGCCGGTGTTGCCCGTGTTACCCGTCGATCCAGTATTGCCCGTGTTGCCCGTGTTGCCTGTGTTGCCAGTGCCGCCGGTGTTGCCAGTATTGCCCGTCTGGCCATTGCCGGTCGAACCTGTGCCGGAGCCAGTAGTGCCCGTATTGCCGCCTGTGCCGCCACTATTACCAGTGCCACCAGTGCCCGTTCCGCCACTGTTGCCTGTCCCACCAGTGTTTCCAGTTCCGCCAGTGTTGCCTGTACCGCCTGTGCCAGTTCCACCAGTGTTGCCCGTCCCGCCAGTCCCCGTTCCTCCTGTGTTGCCAGTCCCACCCGTATTGCCACCAGCACCTGTCCCGCCGTTGCCGCCCGTCCCTCCGCCATCGCCTGTACCCGTGCCCCCGCCTCCGGCGCCTGTTCCGCCTGTCCCGCCTGTCCCGGAGTCGCCCGTCGCCTGGCGCACTACGAGCCCAGAGGAACCGGCGGGCGCAGCCATGACAGGGCAGGCGAGGAGGGCGAGGATGAGTGTTGATGGTAGCATTGTTGTGGGGAGTGAGGAGACGAGTGGAGAGGAGGAAAGAGGAAGGAAGAAGAGCGAAGTGGCGGGGAGGAGGAGAGGAGAGGAGAGGAGAGGAGAGGATAGTGTAAGTGCGAGGGAGTGGGTAAGAGAGGAAAGATGCGAGCACGAGTGAAGTGGAGAGTCGACAACGACAAGACAGTTACATGTCATCGCCCACAGAGGGCGGTGCGGCCGATCAGAAGCTGTACGAGGGCGAGGGTGCTCGGACCTCAGACCTCATACCCCTTCTTCCCTGTCCAGCATGTCTTGGCCCTGTCACATGTCGTGAGTGGACACGTGCGGCGAAGTGCGGAGTGCGGAGTGCGGTGTCGCGGTCGGGGTGTCGGGCATGGTATGGGGCCATGGCGGCGATGCAGGCGAGGAGATGTGAGGAACGTGAGCGAGAGGCGTCGAGGGAGGTGAGCAGGGAAGTGGGTGGCAGAAGGTGGAGGTGGCAAGCTGTGCGGGCTCCGAAAATCTCGGCTGCGAGGTTCTGGCGCCGACGAGCTCGAAAATGGAAGCGTAGGTCGCTGGAAGCATGGAGCAGAGGCTACGCGTGCGTCGCTCACAACGAGCTCAGTACTGTGCACGCTCGCGCTCGCCGAGTTGCGTGGCGACGCGGGTGGACGCGAACAGTCGCGACGTACGACGGTGCCTGGACAAGTGACGAGATTCTGGGGTCGCAAGATCGCCAGCGCCAAGCTTGTTCGCTTTGAGGGTTAAGGGTTGAGGGATCTGGTCTTGCTCAACATAGCGATGCAGGGAGATCGCGCAGAGGCCATGGGCGCGGCTTCAACACCAACATCACAACCATGCGCCAGACTATACTCTACAATTCCATTTATATACGGGCAATTTCATCCGTGCGCAGTGAAAGGGTGCAGGACTTACGGAGAGTAGTACTCACTACTCACCGTCGTCTCGCTCGCCACCGAATTCGAACATCGCCATGCGATTCCCACTATGTCGTCGTCTAGTCATGCCATGTCAACATCGTCGTCGTCGTCAACTTCGTCCACGTCGTCCTCGGCATCCTCATCATCATCCTCCCCATCCTCATCCTCTTCGTCGTCGTCCTCATCCTCGTCAGAGTTGTCCTCGTCACTGTCAAAGACGGGAGGCGGCTCGACCTCCGTGTCTGCCGCAGCGCTCTTGAACATCTCGCTCCGGTACCGGCGCGCAGGCAGGGAGAGCTCGCGCGGCTTGTACGCCTTCTTAAAGATGACGGGCTGCCCGTAAATTCCCGGACCCGTGCTCTCCGTCACGTCAGAGAGAAGAAGACGGCGTATTCCGCTTCCCTCAAGACTCTCGAGGAAGTCGGCCCACAGCCCTTTGTCCTGGCTCTTGGGATGGTTGAGTTGCACGCGGCGCAGGCTCAGACTGCGGAGGGGGAGCTTGGCAACAATGCCCTTTAGCACCTCAGGCGAGGTCGTACACCCGCCCAGCTCGAGTGTGTCGAGCGGCAGGTTGAGGGGCGCGATGGGCAGCCCCTCGTCCTTCTGTGTCGCGATGGCAACAGCCTTGGCCCAATCGTCCATGGTGTCGTTGTTGCATGGCGTGCCGAGCCACTCGAGGAACGCCTTGGGGTCGAAGTGCCGGTCGAAATAGTTGACACGGAGCCAGGTGACATTCTTGGCCAGGTGGAGGAAGTCCTCTAGCTCCTCGGGAGCCGAGACGCGCAGAACGAGGTGCAGTTTCTTCAGCTGGCCAAGGTACTCGGCGACTGCAGGCTTGATGGCGGGTGAAACGTAGAACGCGTCCTTGAGTGCCACACTGCGCGTGATGACCTCGAGGTTTGGCGCGCTCAGCTCAGCGCGGCCAGCAGCGACGACGACGCCCTGAAACACCCGGTCAAAATCAATGTGAGCCGAGCCTTGTTGAGGGCGAACTCCTGACGCCTTGTATAGCGTGGTCGAGCCATACGAGTACCACTGGGCATTGGGGCCGTCACGGAAGCGCGTGGCACTGCTGAAGTCACGGATGTCGATGGTCTCCAGGTTGGGCAGCTTCTTGAACGCCTTTGTGAGCATTTCGATCCACACGCCCGTGTTAAGAAGGTAATCTTGATCTTGACGCGCTCGCCTGGTCACGACGGTGTTGGCCACCCTGAGGTATCAGACGCAGTGCGGGATGTAGAAACAAGGGGCCACTCACGTAGCTGTATAGACTTCGACTGCGCGGTCTGTCGCGATACAGACATGCTTGAGCATCGGCCCAAGGTGTTCATGCTGAGCAATGTCCAAAAGCGTCTGGAGACTGAAAGTCGAGATCCAGAACTGGCGCTTGCGGAAGAACTCGTGCGACCAGGAGGCAAATGTCTTACGCTCGATGACCTTGCATGTCTGGCGGACGGCCGACAAGTCCACGGTCGGTATCCATCTAGTGATGCGAGTGAGGACTTCTGCAGGTAACTGAGCGAAGGGGGAGCCAGCCTGGATGTTGGGGGCGGGAGGGAGGGTCATGGTGAAGTGGATGGAGTTGAGATGAGATGGGCGATGGACAAAGTGGAAGGAAGAATGAGTCGTGGTACCGTGGTGGATTGGACGCGTTCCCCGCGTGTCGCGAGATGCGGAAGCGGGTGATCGGGTGAGCGGGTGACGCCGGGTGACGCGACTCCACCATCCCATCCCGTCCACCCTATCCGCGCGTCGGTTCACATCCACCTCACCTCATGTCACTCCATGCACTCCAATGGTGCTGTCGGGCGCTAAGCATCCTCGCGATCGCTCCTCAGCACTGCCCAGTACTGCAGCGTCTGCCATGCGCCTTTATGCCAGTCGACCTCGCGCGCCGTCCCCTCCAGCGCAAACCCGACTTTGCGCAACAACCCCCCCACAGCAGGATTGTGCACGTCGCTGCGCGCCGCAACGCGGTGCGCGCCAAGACGGAACAGCGCGTCGAGGAGGGCTGAGAGCGCCTCGGCGCCCACGCCTGTACGGTGCGCGGCGGGCGTGATGGTGATCCCGATCTCGTAGGTATTGGGTTGGTGGGCGTGGGTGTGGACGGCGAGGTCGCCAAGCAGGACTGAGGAGGGGGAGGACGGGGTGAACAAGGAGGAAGTGGAAGTGGCAATGGAGGACGAGGAAGGGGAGGAGTGGATGGCAAGCTGGAGCCACGCGCCAGGGGGAGGAGGGAAGGTTGTCGGCTGGCCCGCGAGGAGCGCGTTCGCGGCCTCGACCGTATACGGAACGTCCCAGCCTTGATGTCGGGCGATGTTCGGGTTGTCGCGATACGCGACGAAGGCCTCGCGGTCAGCGGAGGTGAGAGGGGAGATAATCAGCCGCTGGGTGCGGAGCGGGAGGAGATCGTGGGCCATGGAGATCGGCGGAGTGTGTGGCGGCGAGCGAAGACACAGGTGTGGACGGTGATTTCAACCCGTCGACGCGAAGTAGGGAGATGGAGCTATGGAGAGTGACGCATGAGCTCGCGGGCTCGACGTCTTCCGCTCCGCACCACATGGGTCAACCTCCTCCTCTCCAATGACTCAAAAAGCATTCCTTGCGAACACCATGCTCTCTGTCGGAGAATTGAACTCCGGTCTCCCGCGGTCACAGCAAATGACAAGCGAGCATACTAGCCACTATACGAACAGAGATACATATTCCGATGCGGGCGAGGTTGCATATTAGCACAAACAACGCCACGTCAGCCATGACCAAGCTACTTTGCTGCGCGGACCCTTCGAGGACGGGCTCTTCACATCGTTCTTCGCATCGGTAAGTCCATCGTCTACGACGTCTACGAACTCCCTCCCAGTGCCATCAACACCTTCCAGGACAGAAGGTCCCCATCGCCGCCTCCTCCTCAAAAGCGTGCTTCGCGACGAGCACGCCGTACTCTCCGTCCGGCACAACATACTCCTGTCGCTCAACGTCCCAGATCGACACATCGTACCGGCTCAGCGCAAACTCGACGGTCGTCGTCTCCCCGGGGTCGAGGTTCACGCGAACAAAGTCGCGGAGCACGCGCGGCGGCTCCCCGGCCTCAGGGGGATAAACGAGGTACAGCTGTGGCACTTCGCACCCATTGATCCCGCCTGTGTTCGTGACGTCGGCGCGCACCGTCCAGCGCTTGCGGTGGAGGGCTCGGGTCATAAGGCGGCCAATTTTGACGGGCTTCTCGGACTCGCCGTCGTCCTCCACCACGCGTTTGCGCCGGTCCATCACTTGAACATTCGAGATGGCGAATGAGGTGTAGCTCAGCCCGAAGCCGAAGCCGAACAGTGGCGTGATATCCTCCTTCAGAAAATGACGGTAGTCCACAAACAAGCCCTCGGTGTAGTTGACATTCGTCTGCGGCGGCTTGTTGGTGTTCACGTACTCGATGGCAGCGGAGTAGTCGGTGTACTTTGCGGCGATAGTATACGGCAGACGGCCGGAGGGGTTGTAGGCACCCCACAGAATGTCCACGAGGGCATTACCACTCTCCTGCCCTGGCAGGCCGGCCCATAGCACGGCAGTAATGTTCTCATGATCGACCCAGTCCATACTCATGGGTCCAACGGAGTGCACGACAACGACCGTGTTGTTGTTACGCGCCGCCACGGCCCGAATGAGCGCATCTCCGTTGTGCCAGGCCGACAAGTTGTTGCGATCCCCAATATTTCCGTTGACAGTGATGTACTGCTCCCCCGAAACAGAGTTCACGCCGACGAGCGCGACATCAGCCCCCGACGCAACCTTGGCGGCGCCAGCGAGGTCCCAGTTGTTTAGGTGCCAGTTGAGTGTCGAGCGATCCTGCTGCGCACGGAACGAGATGGCCTGTAGCGGGTCGACCAGGTAGGGGAAGTTCGTCTGGTGTCAGCTGGGAGCGCTGTACAGCTCACAGTGCCGGATCCCCAACCCATGGCGAAGGTACCGGAAATCCCGCCCCGGTCGGGGAAGCCGTTAGGCCCGTTAGGAGCTGGACCCATGTCCTCGCCAATGAGCGCAATCGAGCGCGGCTTCTTGAGCGGGAGCGCCCCGTCCGTATTCTTCAACAGCACGGTGGAAGCAGCGCCCATAAGCCGGATAAGCTTGTAGTGGTCGTCTTGAACGTCGACGTGCTCGTTCTGGCCTTTCCACGAGTCAAAGTTGACGTCAGGGTACCCCTTATCCTGCCCGACAAGATACCACGCCGCGACAATGCGCTGCGCCATGTCGTCGAGGCGATCAACGCTGACGCTGCCGTTGCGCACGGCCTCCGTAAGGTTTGGCCCGAAGTAGCTCGTGAGCCCGCCATTCATCCCAATGTCACCCGGCATGTCCATGTCAAGTCCTGACAGTACACCGTGAACGCCAGAATGCGTCGCGTCCCTGTCATCAGCGCCGCAGCGCGCCACCTCACCAATCAGACATGATGTACCCCCCATATCCCCAGTCGGTCTTGAGAATGCCGTTAATCATCTTCGAGTTCTGGCTCGCCCAGCTCCCGTTCACCAGGTTGTAGCTGCACATAAACGCGGCCGAGTGTGCCTGCACCGCACGCAGGAAGGGGTGCGCGTAGATCTCGCGCATCGTCCGGTCGTCGATGTTCGAGCTGCTCGTCGTGCGATTCCGCTCCTGCTCGTTGGCAATGTAGTGCTTCGTGCTACGGTCAGCTCATGTTCTCCCCGAGCTCACGTCGCCTGAACGCCGGCTTTCTGCATTCCGATAATGGTCTCGTATGTCGCAATGCCGGAGAGGTACGGATCGGCGCCGAAGCCCTCCCAGTTCCTGCCGCCGGCCGCGACGCGGCCCATGTTCGTCATGGGTCCGAGGGCGACGTTGATGCCTTTGCCTTTGAACTCCTGGCCCATGGCGTATCCGCGATCGCGCAAGAGTCTTTTGTCGAAGCTGGAGTCAGAACGCATCAAAGTGGGGAAGGTCAGATGGTGGACCACCTCCACCACGCCATGACGTCACAGATGGCACTCACGTCGCAGCGGCGTTAATGCCGGCTGGGAAGGCCGAGACATAGTCGGCGAAGCGCACGCCGAGCGGCGAGTCTTGGAGACAGAGGCCGGTCCAGTTGCGCGCGGGGATGGGCTTGGTGTTGCCAACGCAGCGGCCTTGCATCCATCCTGCGCCAGTGACGATATCGACCTTCTCCTGCACGCTCCAACCGGCGAGGAAGGTGCGAGCTTTGCGGTGCGCGTCGCGCCAGCGGGGTGGGAATTGGTCGGCAACGTGCAACGGTGCGGGCCAGTCTTCGGCGGTGTAGCCTGGTGGGACGGTGCAGAATGTGCAGTCGGCGGAAGTGGTGGAGGAAGGTGCGATGGAGGAGGCGGCGGAGGCGGTGGTGTTGGAAGCGACGGAGATGGAGGTAGCGGAGATGGAGGAGGAATTATGCGCGATGCCTGAGACTGCCGAAGTCGCTTTGGCAGCGGGTGTCGACGCTGAGGTACCGTTGATCATCGATGATGCTGAGGTCGTGTTGGTTGACGCAGAGGAGGCAGTGGAAAGCGCGCTCGCCGCTTGGGAGGATTCCCCCGACGGTGCGGGGCTGCCCTGCGCGCCATTTTGCGCATGCGCAACCGCGAGCAAGAGGAAGAAGAAATTGATGTTCATGGTCTGGTGTGAGCACAGATTGTACATTGCAGCGGAGATGTGACAATCTCACTTCTGCGCTGTGACCTGGACGATGGGACCGAGCTTGTATTCCCCAGCTGAGCGTTTATATGCCCCGAGCTGAGCCGCGGCGTGTCTAGGGCGAGGGGCTGGCTACCTGCATGTGTGGTTTGAATGGATGGTGAAGTGGATTCGAGTGCAGTAGATCAAAGGAGAAGTGGGAGCGAGAGATGTTTTGTGCTGTGCCGATGTGCCTGTGATCAACAATGTGCCGGGGTGGTGCCGAGGTATGCTGCTAGCATGTTAGTGCGCTAGGTCCAATTCTCACGGCGATGGCGGACGTTCATTGCGGCACGGTGCATGCGGCACGGCAGACTACGCATGCTAAAGCAGTCGCGTGCGGACATCTCTGCGGACATGTGGCCGTGGGGCGTGGGCGTGTTAAGGCCGGCGCAATCATATGAGTTGTCCATCTCTGACGCAATGTCATCTTAGTCTCCAGCCAGATCTTCCAACACACTAGCTGGCCTCAAGCCAAGCCAGCCACCTCTGGTTTGAGTCTAACTCTGACATGTGCATGTGATCATCGCCAACGACCGCTGTAAGTCAGAGCACCGCACCTGAGAGTCTGAGGCTGCTCCGAATAGTGAGTACCACCATAAGCGTATCATCTGAGTTGGGATCTCGGCGTGACTAGGCCCTCTTCCTGTCGCCCGCCTACACGCTCCAGCAGCCTCTCCTGCCTCACATACACTCGCAGTCATTGGCCATAGGCCATTCATACCCATCATGGCGCGAGGCGCTTAACGCTCCACTCAGATTTGATGTCCGGGCGGGTGAACACAAATCGGTCGTGCAGGCGGCTCGGCTGGCCCGCCCAAAACTCGACTTCGCTGTCGTCAGCTCTCAACTCTCCCTTCTCTCCCTCCTCCACCTGCTCTCATTCCTCTCTCTCTCTCTCTTCCCCTTGTCCTCGTCCCTCCCCATCCCACTCACATAGGCATGACCCGATACCCGCCCCAGTGCGGGGGACACGGCACCTCACCCGGATACTTCTCCTCGACCTCCTTGACGCGCCGTTCCATCTCGCCCTCGCCGACCGCCTGGCTCTGGGGACTGGCCCACGCGCCAATCTGGCTCCCGCGCGGCCTGGTGGCAAAGTACGCCTCGCTCTCTTCGCGCGACACCTTCTGCACCTCGCCCACCACGCGTACCTGCCGCGACACCTCGCGCCAGTGGAAGCAGAGCGCGGCGTGGCCCGTCAGCTCGCGGCCCTTGCGCGACGTGTAGTTCGTGAAGAAGACGAAGCCTTCGTCGACCTCCTTGAGCAGGACGACGCGCGAAGAGGGAATGCCGTTGGCGCAGGTGGACAGCGTCATGGCCTCGGGCTCGCGGACGGCGGGCTGGCCGTGCGTTGGGCGCAGGGCTTCGTGTAGCCACAAGCGGAAGAGGGGAAGCGGAGCGGGGGGGAGGTGGGCTGCGTCGAGCCGCGTCGCGTTGTATTGATTGTGCGCGGTGAGGCGGAAGCCTGTGGGCGTCGCGATCGTCGCGGTCGCGTCGGGAGCGGAGGCGGCAGCGGCGGATCGCGCAACGGGAGAGAGGACTTGGTCGGGCATGGGGAGAGGTAAGGAGAGGGAGTTTGGGGGGGAGGGGGAGAGAAAAGCCGAGGAGACTTCGGGGTTATTGAGCGAAAAGGTTGGAGAAGAACAAGGGATCGGGCGGTGGATCGAGGTGGAGAGGCGTTTTCCGATCGTCCGAGTCACTGCGGAGTATGACGATCGTGGTGGAGTGGAGGTGGAGTTGGGCGGGTGCATTTCGGTCAATGCCGAAACCGATTCAGTAGAGTAGAGTTCCAATGCGAAGACCACGCTCTGTACATCACAAGCACTTCGATATCCATTTTCCCAACAAACATATAGAGCAAAGCCGAAGGGGTATACCCAAGCAGAAGAATCGAGAACCTCACGCACACTACGTCTTGACACGGAACAGGTAGCGCAGCTTTACCTGGTTGACGTCGTATGTAATGTACTCGTTGTACATGAGGTACGCGCCGTCGACGTTGGTGTCGCCGGGTGGGGTTGTTACGTCGGGCTACAGTCAGCACTGCTATCCAAGTTAGGGGCAACTCACCATCTTGATGCCCTTGAGCGACTCATGCGCCTCGCCCGCGCACTTCCACTTCGACGGGCCGACCCTGCCCTGGCCCCAGGTCGAGTACATGCCGCCAGCCTTGGCGCTGTCGCCGGCGTTGTACGACGCGTTGGTGAGCTTCTGAAGCGGGTCGCCGAGCTCGGCCTCGCAGAGAAGCAGAAGCGCAGTGCTATCCGACAGGTAGGAGCAGCAGTAGTTGACTGACTTGGAGGACATGTCGGCGAGGTAGATGCCCTTGCCGAACTGGGGTTAGCTACGCCGCACGATATCCTCACCATGTAGCCGGACACTGGTGCTTCGGGGGGAGCGATGCGGAGACCCTGCGACAGGATACCGCCAAAGTTGGTCGCGCGCGAGCCGTGCCACAACAGACGGCGATCCGATGGGATGGTCGGGTAGATGCTCTCGTCGAAGCGCTTTGTCTCGCCTGCGCGCTCGATGCGGAAGATCTCCTCCACCTGATAATTAACATGGTGGGTTGCTCCTTTCGAGTCAACGAGGTACGCGGCAAGCTCCTTGAACTCCTTCGAGGCCTTGTCCAACACGGTCATCTCCTCCATGCCGAGCGAGTTGAACTGCCGGTCGTAAGCGTGCATGGTGTCCTTGGGGCGCTCGGCCTTCATAATCGCCGCCGCCTCCTTCATGTCGCCGAGCGACTCGAGCAGCTCAATCTCCCTCTTGAGCAAGGCCTCGGAGGCAATGATTGGCGGACGGTTGCGGCCAAAGTCGTGGGGAATGTACGAGTAGAATCGATTGGAAAGCATCTCCACAGCGGACTGGTAGGCCTGACCGTGAACCGACTGGGCCAGCGAGTGGTCGTCAAAGAGCGAGGCGAGGTCCTTGAGAGCCTGGAAGCCCTTCAGAATGGTACTCTTTGAAAGCTTGCCCAGAGGCATCTTCTGCGCGTCATAGTTGAGATCCCTCATTGCGTTGTTCATGTACTTGGTGTTGAAGATGAGGGCCATGAGGTCCTGAATTGGCTGCTCGAGTTTGGACTCTGGCGGTACCCACTCCTCCTCCTCATCCTCCTCCTCCTTGACGTCATTGTCCGCGCCTTCGTTGTCCGAGTCATCGTCGTAGCTCTTCTCGATAAACGTGTACTTCTTGGGCTTCGGTGGGTCGTTGCGCTGCGCCCAGTTCAGGCCAGACTTGTCCTTGAACTTTTGGTTGAAGTTGGCAATGGCATCCGGGAGGGTGCCACAGCCGAGAAGCTTGTTTTGACCCGCCTCTCCGACACGGCCCCATCGCGTCCATGTCCTATAGTTGCCGCCATTATAGAGGATCTGGCGTCAGCGGGGTTACTGGTCGCCTATTGGGCTCAATTGCAGCTACTCACCTGCACGCGGTAGAATTTGTTGTTGTTATTTCCAGCATTTGTCTGGTTGAGGTTGGCGTCGTAGATCATGCCATCATCATCGATGTAGACTTTGTAGTTGACCAAGTGGCAGTACTCGTCAACGGGGACGTTAAAACCCTTGGTCTTCTTGGCCTTTTGCCCGTCGAGGTCGCCCTTGCTAGCGACCTTGTCCGCCGTGTCCTGAAGCTTGGTGGAGGTGATGGCGCCTGCAGCCTTAGATGGGCTAGGAGGCGCGGGTTTGGCTGATGCGGGGGCTGGGGTCAGCACCAAAGTCATCCCATATACGATATCTACGATGACTCACCGGCCTTCTTTCCACGCTTAGCAGGCTTGACGTCCTCCTCGTCATCGCTCTCCGCGGCACGCTTCTTCCCGTTGGCCGCTCCGTTGGCTCCGCTGTGGCCGTTGGCGGTGCCATTGGCAGCGCCGTTGACGCTTGCCGCCAGGGCGACATACTTGGCCTCATCGACGAGGTCACCCTCCTCCTCACACGCCTCGACCCAGCGCTCATCGAGGATGTGGACGTTGTTCTTCTTGGCTGCGGTGATCTTGGGCGAACCCGACTGGATGTCCGCCGTGTTTGCGATGAGGTGCGTGACTGTCTTGGTGACGTTGTTGGAGACTTTGGCGCCAAGGCGCATGACCTGCTCGGTGAGGTCTGTGCCGAGCTTGCCGGGGACGCCGATGACGATGCGGGTGCCCTTGAGCGGCTCGGTGTTCTTGAGGACTGGAGGAGGGGAGGGGGTGGGGGAGGGGGAGGGGGATGCGGCCTTCTTGGTTCGAGCGGCCCGCTTCTTGGGTGCAGGGGCGGGAGG